CATCTTGAATGCAGTATAAAACTAAATAAGAGACGTATTTATTTTATTATCACGTGTGCGCCAGCTGACTGTGGTTGTAACCCCTTGAGCTTACCGTCAACAAACCTTTCAAAGACTCGCTGAAATCTAACTTTCAATCGTTGTACACTGACCGTATTTTGAAGGGATTGCATACGGGAGCTAATATTTCTGATGTCACTATTACGGACGTACTTCGGGACCCCTCGGGAGTATTCGAAAACCGTCTGGCCAAAGGTCATTGTACAGTTTTGGTTGGCGACCAGTGTGAAGTTGGTACGCAATAAGAGCACGCAATATAAGCTAGCACGCAATAAGTGCAAGCAATAAAACAAAACCGTAAACCCTATCGCAGTAATCGCACTATACTGGCTGGCGGTTTTATCAAATAATAAATGCCTCGTGCGTTTTCAATATAAACTGCTCATTCGATATTAAAAAAGACAATTATAGTTTTACACATTATAAACCAACTGTGTGACGAAAAAAAAGATTGGTTATAAATATTACGTTTCGATGTACGGGCAATATTTCACGTTTATCGCACAAATGCGATGTTATTTATAATTAAATCGGCTGCAGTCACTTTAAACTAAATTTATTTTCGAATGTTATATATCAGTAGAACTAACAGTACATTATAAATATGTCAGTCCCTTTCCGGCACAATATGTTGTCACTATATTACCACGCTTTAAACTTTGACAATATTTCACGTTTTTGGTACAAAACATGCGTTAATTCATTTAATCAAATCGGCTGCAGTCACATCAAACACGAATTTATTTTCGAGTCTTATATATCAATCGAGAGATGACTAATAGTAGATTAAGTACTCACTGTCCGGTAAAAAAGTTGTCACTCTGTAACCACGCCCTGAATAAGGCTTATATTTAACGTTTTTGGCACAAACAAATGCATTATTACATAATAATCAAATCGACTGCAGCAACTTCAAACACAACTAATTTTTCGATTATTATATATTCGACCCTTGCGAATGTACGCCATGACACTTGAGGCGGGGACCAGCCAACGGAAATACTTGCATTCAATGAATACTGTTAGAACCAGATTTCATCACACTGCTTGAATTGTGCACAGCGCCATCAACCAACATGGTTAAATATACATGTACGGAGTACTTACGCAGGGAAAACTGGAAATGCATGTTGATTGGAAAACGTACAATGGCAAGTTAAAATCGTCGCGAAATGCGATCATTCTGATATTTACCGCCAAGGACTTGTTTCTACGTCCAGAAATAAATGCGCTCTGGTAAACAGGGAGATCCAACTAATCAGCTACATAATTTGCAACGTGAACCCCGTCTGGGCAAATCATTGGCGAAAAATAGGCAGATCGCCACAAAAGGATCACCAAAACACTCTTACCTTTGCATACTTCTAAATGCTTCAACACTCAAATCGGGTACAATAACCAATTATTTACATAAGACCAATCATGGGTAAATGCATCAACTGCCTCGGTATTAGGGCACCAATAACGAGAATTAAATATTACACACTTTGCGTTATATGATGCAAATCTTAAATACAATTAGGGAAACTCGCCTCAGGTCTAAAATTAAGCGCTTCTAACTTTTCCTGTTAATGGCCACCTACAGTGGGTTACAAACAAACGGGGGCCTCTCCGCCTCTTCAACTGGCATTGTGACAATCATGATCGAATCTCTGATTGCACACAAAATAAAATCCTACCTGCCGACCTCTTATTATTCGGAAAAGGGGCACGGGACAAGAAAGAACCAATACCCCGACTATTTTTTTCTTCTATTACTGGCCCACATGAGTTTCCCACCCTCACCGCCGCTGGCCAAGTCATGAGAGGAATCCGCGAGGAGAACCAACTTTTGTAATTTTTCAACCAAAATAATACCTTACGTTATGTTTCGCCTCGCACAGGATGTCGCTCATTTTCATGTTATATTTGAACTGGTCATTGACGGGCGCTGCCGGTGTTTCCGTGGTGGTGGTGTCGACAAAGCGTGATGCCATACAGACATTTTTGTTCATTTATTTGGTTAGTTAATCTTCATATTAATATACTTATTTTTTGCCCTCCACTTTATACATTATAATTTACTCCCAGTGTATATTGGGAATCAGACTAGACTAGCAGTAAGCTATCATCTAATTTCCTTTTTACTCAATATATATATTTTTTCTTACCATTTGTTTTTCTCCGTATTTGGTTTTGTGTGTGGCTTACTTTTGTTTTTATTTTTCAGTGTGTATTATTGTTATTATTATTTTGGGGCAAATAAATATTTTTATTATTATTATATGACAACAAAAGTTTAAACTTCACACCTACATCAGATATCATATTAGACAGACTCATGTGCATTTTTGTCATCCAAAATACCTGATGAGGGATCTTGCTTGGAAGAAATACATCTACTAGTATATACATGTATAGTATATACATGCCTAGAATAATCAATTTAAACTATGTATATATACCGAGATCAACAGATTATGTAACAGATTATGTAACTGCCGTAAGAAATCTGAATGTCCCTTAGACGGAAATTGTTTACAATCGGCCTTGGTTTACCAAGCTAATATCAGACGGCAAGACAACAACAAGTGTGAAACATATGTGGGACTAACAGGAAATGAATTTAAAACCCGGTACAGAAACCACACCAAGTAAATACGCTTGGTCATTAAAAGACAATAACATCGATTATGACATCAAATGGAGAGTGTTATCGCGTGCTGCACCATATAATACTTCAAGCAAACGTTGCAACTTGTGCATTAGAGAGAAATATATTATAATTTTCCAACCACATTACTGTAGTTTAAATAAAAGAAATGAGCTTTTTTCTTCCTGTAGACACAGAGCCAAATCGTTGCTATGCAACAACTAGTTTTAATATCGTAAACACACTCCATTGTTATGCAAATCTGTAGCGCTTATAACGTAGTCTGTTTCGGTGGTTTATTTAATAAAGTCTTAACTCCTGATGAGTGAGGTACTCCATGTACCTTACGAAACAGTACTGTAGAGTCAACTTTACTCATGTAGTATCGAGCACACTCACCTGGAATAATCGACTACCTTCTTATAAATATATATATATATATCACATCTATACATGGGTCCCATGACAATTACATGTTAAAACGTGTTATAAACCCCAGATATGATGGGTTATTGTTTTGTTTTTTACATTTAATGGGTGATTTGATACAAAATGGTTGCTTTTATTTTTATTGGATCAAAACATAATGCTTCTCACTAACTTTGACATTTAATAATAATAATAATCCTTGTTATTCGCATCACTACATGTGTATTGGTAATGGAAATCATAATTGTGTAATGGTACATTGGTCAGTGTAAAATGGTAGTGGTATATTGATCATGGTGTATTGGTAAAAGATATTTGATTTTAATATTTGGAATATCATTTTAAATAATTGTCCTCCTTGGTTTCAGT